TTTTTTTTTAAAAAGAGACCTTATAGAGGAAGGAGTTGGGTCTGGGGATAGGGATGGTAGCTTGTGCTTCCAAGGGGGCCGGTGATGTCACAACTCTGAAACCCAGTGAACACAAGACAGAAATTCCCAGAGAGGCTGCTGGTAGATTCTCAGCCAGAACAGGACACAGACACTCAGGGATAGACAACAGTACCCTCTCCTGCCTGAGGCCTAGACACACAGGGGGGAACACAGTGCAAGAGAGAGCAGTGCAGAACCTAAAAATTATATTGTCTTGAGTATTTGCAAATCAGGAAGAAAGTACATCTTGGAATAATTTTTGGAGGTAGTTTTTGGGAATTTTTACCTAGACTTCTAGTGTGATTAAAAAAAAGAAAAAGAAAGACTATTTAATGACCTGGGTGTTCCAGTTTGAATGACTGGAAAAAATGGTGCTACTACTTAGTTCATAGATTCAGACTCATTGTCCTCAATTTGGCTGATCCTTGAGCAGTATTTTTGAGGCCACATATCACAATGGCTCATCTCATACTACCAGAGAGCCTCCACATTTAGGTTAGTAGCCTAACTCTTTATAGATTAGACCACCCGACTCCCTTAGTGTGGTACAGAATCAGGAAATGGAATGACTGCTCCACTCATAAAGTCATTCATCATCTGGGCAGTACTCACCTCCTCATCCCCAGGGCCTGAACCAGAACTCTTGATTCTGCATAGCAAGGCAGAGTTACAGGTTGTCTCGGGTCTTTTGCAAATCCTAGGGGCGGGGGAAAGTATAGGGGACTGTAGTGGTCACCTCTGAGGTATCCCAGAGATGAGGGCTGCTGGCATGGCACAGGAGGAAGGTGGCTGTACCCATCCCTGGGATCACCCAAATTAAATTCTGGGTGACCCAGTAGTGTCCCTGTTGCCCAGGAATAGTGTCCCTAGGAATTCTGTTCTATTTGTTTTGCTCATCATGGTATCCCTTAGTCCCCTGCTCCCCAGTTCAACTTTAGAAAGGTGTCCTTTGTTGGAGATATTCCTGAGTGCATGTGAGCTGACCCTCACCAATCCAATTCTTCCTTAAATGTCTCAATGAGATTGTCATGAGAGAGGCACCTGGAATCCATGACAAAATTCCAAATCTCAGGAATTTAAAAGAACAGCTATAAAATGTAAGACAAAATAGAGCATCATGTTATGGGAGGAACGGATGATTTTATGAACTGTCTCATTTTCCATGTGCAGCAAGTAAGTCTTGAGAACAGCCTCTGACAAGTGGTTGAGACAAGTATGGTGTCACAGGAAATTTGTCCACACAGTGATTGGTCCCTAATTCTAGGGACACCTCAGTATATGATTCAGAGTCCTCAGACCTTAGTTCCCACTGTAAAACAGAGTCTAAAAGCTCTTTCCATTGGATGGAAGTATATTAATGTGGAGAGAGGCTAAATTTGTGTTCTGCATGACTTTAGCACACAGGAGACTAACAAATTGTCCTTGGTTGCAGAATGGGGGGGGGTCTGTCAGTGGTTTCAATCTTATTAACATATTTTTCTCAATATGTTTGTATTATGTATTATGAAAATATCTGTATAGTTCTTTAAAACAACAAAATAACTTTCATGAGCCAGATTACTGTATTACAAGTTTATACGTTACTGTTTGACAAGGCTACACCTCTATGCTCTTTATGTTTTGGACCTTTGGATATGCTCCTCTCAGACTTGTCATTATTATCCAATCACCATTAATCATGGTGCTGTTTATTGGTCCAGTTCTAAGGTTGTTTATTGTAAGCTAAAGTATTTGATGTATTTGTGAATTTATATGGTATAGTGACTTTTGATTACACATTTGGAAAAAAATGCACAGTACATAAGTTGGCAGAAAACCCCAGGTTTTCAGTCTTAGTCTTTATGACTTGATATGAAAATTTGAATAATGGTCTTATTAACGAAGTCTATCTTATATGCTTATGGAGTTAAAGGAATCTGTTCTGAATTAGTGATATAGTTTGTTTGCTGGCAAATGTGAGTCCTCATCCCATCCTGGTGGAACTTCCCAGATCTGAGCACTGCCATTTTCCTGCCCTTTCTTGTGTGTGGAAATGTTCTCTTGGGCATCCAACAGAGTCATGCACAACCTGATTATTCTGCACATGGAGGATGATAAGGGGAGTCAGTGAAAGTCATCTGAGGCCATGTTTGCATGTGTGATCCCAAGGAGTCAAGGGAAAGTTCTTGCACCTCAAGCAGAAAAGAAAATGTTTTGCTTTGTCTCTCTTTCTAGCTGTGAAGTCAGAACTAACTCATAGCTGACCATCACCAGGTTTCCAGAAGCTGAAACTCACATGAGAGGAGACTGCCCATCTGTCTCTGGGTTAGCAGCACAACTCTTTCCCCACCAGACCACCAGAGTGGTGATAGCAGAGGAGATGAGGTAGAGGCTGAACCTATGAATAAATATCCAGTCAGAAAATGAAATATCCATCTGCTCATAGGTGAATGGTGACAAGTTCAAGGATAAATATACCTGTTTTGTAAAGTGCTCATAAAATTTTTTTTTTGATGCAGAGAAAGTTTTACTATCCTGATGGACCGCCTGGAAAGAGAACATGCTCACAATCATGTGCTGAGATACCAAAATACCCTTTAAGGTGGAAACCCACAGTGTGGGTTAGGACACGAACTCCTTATCTGTCAATCAGGGAGCCCCACCTAGACCTCAGTCTCTGGACATTTGACTACCACCAGCCCTGGGCCCTCATCTCACAGAAACATGTCAGAATCTGTGTCTTCCAGAATGCATGTGTAGAATTTCTCTAAACAGTTATCAAAAAAAAGGCATTTTTATCAATAGTCACCTAGTCTGCCATATCTCATTGCCTTCTAATCACAACAATATAATGTGGGCCTTCTAAAGGTTTTTTTTAGTCTGTGAATTGCTTGGGAGAGGATTTTTTTATCTTTCTCCTACACAGCACCTGGTAGATTTGAACTACCTGCCTTTGAGTTGGAAGCATACGTTGTTGTTGTTGTTGTTGATTGAGTTGAGCACGACTCATAGCAACCTTATGAACAAAAGGCCTGAAGCCTTTCTATAACTATCATCTTATATCAAGTTCATAGAGTTTCCAGAGGCACGCTGTTTAGGAAGCAGATGCCACTCCTGCTTCTTACCTATCTTTATATATAAAAGGAATAGGCGGGGGGGGGGGGGGAACAAAGGTTAGAGAATCACACTGAGGACCACTCAGAGGATGAGATAGACCTGGAAACTCCTAGAAACAGGGAGAGCTGATGGGGGAGACTCAGGATGTCCTTGTCACAGGTGGAGTCTGAGATGGTCCCACCTGGACCTTTCACCCAGCCCCAGGCTTTAAGGCAAAGAGTTTGCTTCTCAAGGATTTTCACTTTCCTCTGAGCCACTTTGCCCATCAGGTGGTCCCCATGGAGGAGCTGGGCTAAGGCTGGCACAGAAGAAGCCTCAGGAGGGCCTGACAGGAGCAGCTGTGTGTTCCTCTCCTGACAGTAGAGAAAGGGGTTCTTATCTCACTTCCCTGCAGGCCTGGAGCACTGTGTGAGCACTCTGGCTGCTGTCATAGGAGTGGCAGTAATAAATAGCCTCGTCCTCTGCCTGCAGCCCAGTGATGGTCAGGGAGGCTGAGTTGCCAGAGTTGGAACCTGAGAACCTGTCTGGAATCCCTGAGGGTCGCTGGTTATTATTATAGATGAGGAGTTTAGGAGATGTTCCTTGGAGCTGCTGGTACCAGTGTGCATAGTATCCACCAATATTGGTGCTGCTGCCAGTGCAGGAGAGGGTGACCCGTTCGCCCAGGTTCCCAGACACTAAGGGCGGCTGAGTCAGCACAGACTGGGCCCAGGATCCTGCAAGTGGGGAGACACAGAGATGGTGACCCTAGAGTCCAGAGGCAGGAGAGAAAGCAGAACCCCAAATGTCTTTCCAGGACACCTTCCCCTGACCCCAATCAGTCACCTGTGCAGTAAGTGAGGAGAGAAATGAGGAGAGGGGCCCAGGCCATGATGGAGATTTCCCTGAGTCCTGTCATCTGTTGACCTACTGCTACTGCAGAGCTTTATCATTTCCCCAGGCCCTCAGGATACTCTGAAAAAAGGGAGGGTCCATCCATGCAAATGAATTTAATCTAGTTTTTGTGATCCTCACCTGGGGGTGGGGCAGTGCTGGTCTGTGTGGCTTCTGTGGCTGTGGAAGGTCACAGCTGAGAGCACCAGGCTGGTCAGGGTCCTGGTTCTCAGCTGGGATCACTCACAGATGCCTCTGGAATGGATCATGATTGCCCCCTGCTGGCTAGATTCAGACATAGTCATCATGGGACTTGGAGACTAGAACCTCTCAACGACTCTGCCTCCTCACTGCGGTGCCCACTACCCGCAGGCCAGGTCAGGCTGTTTACTTGTTCTCCACACTATGTCAGGGCAATCTCTTTTCTCTACTGAGAGTCCTCAGCACTGCCGCTCTCCATCGAGTCAATTCAAAAGCGATGTTTGGCAAAAAATTTCCCTTAAATTCAGTTAAGACAATAAACAAATGATGGCAGAGTGTGTTGAGAATGAAATCTCATTCACTGCTAGTGGGGATATAAAGTGGTGCAGCCTCTGCGGAAAGTAGTTTAGAGTTTCCTCAAACACTCAGTAACGAAAATGCCATTTGGTTCCACAATCTCACAGTGAGGTGTCTATTCTAATGAAATAAGAGCTGAGACAACACCTTAAGTATGCAGAACCATGTTTAATCCAGCATTATAACAACTGCAAAGAGATACCAATAACCCAAGTGCCCACCAATGGATGAATAGCTAAAGAGTTAAGGTACACTCACAAAGTGGAGGGAAATGCATTATTGAAAAACAAGGAAGGGTTCATGAAAAACTAAAGCACATGGACAAATCTAGAGATTATTATGAGACTTAGAAGAAAATTTATCCCTAAAAGATTTACCATAGACCACTGATCTCTCAAGACAAAAGCAGCAGCTCCTCTGCTGACCTCAGAATCTGAAACCTTTGGCCTTCCCTATCCTTCTGGGGAGGGCTTCCTAACTTTCATCGATGTTTACTGCTGCTGTCAGATAGAATGATGAGTAGCCTCCCTGCACAGTGTTTATGGGTGAGTTGTTCATTTTTGCCACATTGCTAATGACTTCCCGGAAGCTGAAAGTGGGTTTATTGTACAGTCCTTAGGACAACAGGTGGCATTTGAGGTTGTCGGTACCAGGATCCTGGAACTGCCATTAATAAAGAAAATTTTCAATCAAGCTCCAGGAATCCCAAGGGTATACAGCTAGTAATAATGCTTGGTTTTGTACAGGTTAACCTAATCCTTTTTTTTTTTTTTTTTTTTTCACACTAGGTGCTTTTAATACCTTGGGTTTGTTTGGTTTTGAGCCTAATCCTTTTTTATTGTGAGAGTTTTTTAGGATGATTAGAAACTTCAGTATACAGATCTTTAGTCTTGAAGTCTTTCTTGCAAGAATGTAACCGCCGGCTGAAATCAACCTGCGGGTTCATTCGTGTTCTAGAGTGGAACCTGTGCGGATTAAAAGAGGAGCAAGGACATGGGAGATTCGGGTAAGACAAAGATTCCTGATCAAGCCCAAATTTATTCGATGAATTCTGCTATAAGTAGGCAGCAGATTAGGCTGGGCTTCCAGGGAACCCAGCCCTAGGTTATCAGTTTACAAAAGAGAGGGAGGGGCATGCGCCAAGGTGTTGATTTACAGGTGCTGATTTAAGAGGTAGGCATAGTCCCAGAGATGGACAGGGGTGGCAGCTGCATGTCAAAAAGTGTTATCAGTGGTAGAGTTAAGATCTACTCAGGATGGCTTCCTACACAAGAATGCTAAGCTCTCGGGTAAAATATACTCTAGACTCCTGCTTCTTTTGGTGATTATATACTTGCTTTCCATTAGTAGTCTGCAAATTTATTATTTTGTGGCCACA